GAGTCCATTTTGGCTCGTGACAACCTCATGGGTTCCACTGCTTAGGGGGGGTGTTTGTTCTCGATTGTAATCTTCATGGAGCTAGATCGCCAGGCCTCTCTTCTGCACCACTGCCTGGCGGGTCCCAGGAGATCCATTTGCACAACTCGGTCCCAGTTGTTGGTGAGGAACTACTTTGTCAGGAAGGATGGGTCAGAGCCCTGATGGTGTTGTGGATTACATGTTGGGTTGCTAACACCAAGGTTGACAGTTCAAACACACCAGCCTAGCTGAGAGAGCATGATGAGGCCATCTGAGTTCACAGCCTTGGAAACTCACAGGGGACAGTGCTATCCTGTCCTAGCTGCTAGCTCTGAGTCGGTATCGATTTGATGGCCATGAGGCAGGGAGTCTCACGGGTGGGCCCTCCAGGTTTGCAGAGGAAGGTGTGGAAGGGAGGAGAGGCTTTGGAGGGAGTCCAGGGAAGGGGACTACAAGAGCAGGCCGCTGAGACTTGCAGATGCAGGAAGGGAGGGATGCTCTGAGGACAGAGAGATTCTCCTGAGCTGGGGTGTCTGGGGCTGGGAGGGAGGATGGGAGAGGAGATCCCAGCGACCCCCTGGCAACACTGCCCCAGGGGGAGAGGCCTGGAAGGGATGTCTGTACAGCCAGAGGTGCCTGTGTGGCTCAGGGGCACAGATAGAGCCCACAAGGAGTGTCCTGTGACTGTCTGCAGAGTCCCCAGCCTTCCTGCCCCTGTCCGTCCTTTGTCTGTGCTGCCGCCTTCTCAGGATGGTGAGTCTTGCTAGGCAGTATGATGCCCCAACAAGTCCCTAGCCTGTGTTCCACACTCTTGGCTTTGTTCCATGTAATATGTACCCCCACTTCCCCCAGCGTGCCCCAGGACATTCAAAAGCCCAAGAACAAAGAGAACCAGGGTTTGGGACAGAAGTGAAGTGGTGGTGGTGCCCTGGCCTCTGTGATTGAAGGGTGCTGACTGCAGACCCCTTCTCCCCCCTTAAGCTGAGGCAGTCATGAAGAACATCTCTTACAAAGGCAAACGAATATCCCTTCTTACACGCAACCTAGTGGCTTCATATCAAACAGCACTTGGGTCCACCACGCTCTGGTTCAGCCTGCCCCAGCCACCTGCCCCAGCCACCTGCCCCAGCCTTTCTAGTTGCCTGTCTTTCATAAGGTGGACACCGAGAATAAGGGGCCTTTGACATACCCTCCAGGCCTCTTAATCACGGGGCCTCCTCAGTGGACACACTGGTCATTTCTGCCTTGTCAGACACACTGCTTACCTATTCACGGGCTTCTTTGGTGAGATTCATGTGAAGGTGTGTGAGACACACGCACATGCACAGGTGGAGGAACGAGAGGCAAGAATTCCGGCATCTCATTGTACCAGTGGAGAGGTTGGGGTGTGGGTGGGGTGCAGAGCTGGGCAGAGACTGGCCCCGAGTCCCACAGCAGACAGCCGCGCTGTGCGGCGTTTTCAGCTCTGTGCCGGATCCTCCTGGGCTTTGCGTGCAGCCCCCCAGAGGTCCTGACTGGCCACGCGTGGTGGGCAGGTGCGTGCAGGTGCCCCGGAGATGGGGCTGCAGGAAGCTTCCCTTGAGGGACCCTGTCAACCATTTTCCAGCGATCTAGTTGGAAGCCCTTTTCCAATGGCCAACAAGGTGCAGAGGAGAACAAGCGGATTGTTGCCCATGGACCTAGAAGGGGCATGTGTGTGTGTGTGTATGTATGTGTATATATGTGTATGTGGTATGTGTTTATGTTTATGTGTGTGTTTGTGTCTATTTGTATGTGTTTATGTGTGCTTATGTGTATGTGTGTGTATGTGTTTGTGTGTGTGTTTATGTGTGTGTGTGTGTGTATCCCCCAAAGAACAGCTTTGGGCTCTGGATATTACAGCGTCCATATACCCTGACCACCCTTTACAGGACCACTAGTTCAGGCAGGCCAGTGACTGAGGAGACCACCTGGGACGATCCAGCCAGACTGCCTGCAGACAGCTTCCCTCCCTTTGTACAGACAAGGAAAGCGAGGCTCAACGAGAAACGGCTTTCTCCATCCATTGCTCAGCTGGGGCAGAGGCAGAATCCATACCTGGGCTTCTAGACTTCTGAGCTGGGTTTTCCCTGCAACGTAATGCCACCTGCGTCCCTGGAGACAGTCTGGAGGAAGCCATCCCGTGGCAAACAAAACCAAGGGGAAAGGGAAGGAAGAAACCAGGAAAGCTCCTACTTTAGTGGGTGGCAGCTTTTGTTTGGAGGCAGCTAGAGGGGGCGACAAAGGAGCTCTGGTGGCATAGTGGATGATGAGCTGGGCTGCTAACCTCAAGGCCAGTAGTTCAAATCCACCAGCTACTCTGTGGGAGAACGATGAAGCTTGATGGAGCGCCTACAGGGGACAGTTCTACTCTGCCCTGTAGGGGCGCTGTGAGTCAGAATTGACTGGCTGGAGGCCTCTCGTTCTCTGATAGTCTGGTGGTCAAACCAAAACCAAAACTCAACTCACCGCTGCGGAGTCCATTCTGACTCGCGGCAGCCCTATAGGACAGGGTAGAACTGCCCCTGTGGGTTCCCAAGGCTCACTCGTGATGGGAACTGAAAGCCTCATGTTTCTCCTGCAGAGAGGCTGGTGGTTTCGAACTGTTGACCATGTGTTTAACAGTCCAATTCATAACCACTACACAACCAGGGCTCCTTCACAGTGTAACATCATTTTTCAATCTCTGTGTCTCTGACTCATTCCTTCTGTGATCACATGCTTTCTGTGTGCTTGTGACCCTCCTGACACCCTGTGTGATCATGAGGTGTCGATGGGATCAGGTATCAGGCATCAAAGACACAGAATAAAAAAATCATACCAATGTGAATGAGGGGGAGTGCAGAGTGGCAACCCAAAGCCCATCTGTAGACAATTGGACAACCCCTGACAGAAGGGTCCCAGGAAGAGGCAAGCCAGTCAGGGTGCAGTCTAGCACTGATGAAATATACAACTTTCCTCTAGTTCTTTAATGCTTC